TGATGTATCTGTTTGAAAAAAGTGAAGATTTGACGAAATCCAATTTTTTTATGAGCTCTCAAAGTTGATCATTACAAAACCGAGCGATGCGGTTGATTGGCACTAGTGTTTTGATGACGTAGTGTCCGGAACAACCGAAGTGTCAACAAACCAACATCAGAGAGCTTTGAATGCAATAGAGAAGAGTAGAACTATGTTTTGCCGAGATTCAACTGTTTACATGAAGCATCATAGTCTTCTCGATCAAACATGRAAATGCGTCCCGGACACTACGTCATCATAGTCGTCACCAAGCCTCCCAAACAAGGCTCAGCTTTTTAGCACAGGATGCCCAAACGAATCTTATAATGCAATTTCAAACCGCTGTAAAATCAAKAATTTTTATTTGGTGACTTTCATACTCCGAAAAATTGGTATTGASGACTTAAATTTTAAATCAAAACAATATTTGKCCAGGTTGCATAGGCACTTTCAGAAATTACACCACTCGGGAKTCCACTCGACTTCGTGGTCTTATTGTTGAATACACCGTTTGTTTATAAGTTGAAGAAGAATATTAGTAGTACGAATAGGAATCGAATATTTCAAGCACATACTGGGCCTTTGCGCGACAAATGCTTGATTGCTGAATAGCCAAACTTTATATTGAGTTCATGRAAACTATAAAAKAGCTATTTAAAAAAAATAAATTTAGTATTAGGATCATTTTTAACTCGGAGATTGCGTTATCAATCGAAGAGTTAATGTAGGGGAACGATCTGTCACTYACTAAGTCACTCACTTTCCTGTAAACTGCGTTGTTAACTTATTTGACATATTTCTTCATATTTACTGGAAATTCATCGTCACGGTCTACCAGAATCTTTTTCTTTTTTTTTCGAAGAGAAAGAAATTMATGATGTCCTCGAAGGAGCTCGAACTCCGGACCACTAGACCATGTGCCCAATAGATATTACATCATGACCATTTACTAGCGTTTAKGCGATACCAGATCGAAGGTTGGGTTTCCCGTGTCATAACCGATAAAACGAGCGAAATGTCTTTAAAATTCTATTCTTTGATTTAAATTGCACAAATTGAAAGAAGGTTTTAATGGGGKTTTTGGCTTTGAGTGCGTGTYRACAGTTAGAAAGGTTCAGGGAAAACGTRCAAGAAGCTTCTTGTTTAACTCKGMGATTGCGTGAAGTCTACATGAAGCTTCTTGTTTATCTTGGCTTCTCGTAAKAAATCTAAAAGTCGAGAATYGMAATAACTTAAAACCCTGTATTCAAATGAAGGCGTTAATTGTACCTTTTCACTGGGTCTTTGCTTCTATTGCGAATGACATGGCCTTCAGTCCGTATGTCTATATTGTCGTTTCTTGCATTGTTTATTTTAGCCAATAAACTTCTAAATAAATTTACCGATATTTTTTWGTGCTTTGGATTTAATCCATTGTGCTAATTTTTTGCAAACAAAATCATCCTACAATCTCCGAGTTAGCYGTTGACATTGGCAGCTTGATTATTTATTTCATGTAAACACTTCGAGTTCCAGAAAATTTTCTTTTTAATTAAATGGTCTGAAAATCAAYGAAATAAATAAGAAAGAGTTACTTAGAAAGCCACAATTTAAAATTTGAAAACAACTATTTTACATTTCACACGAACTCGGCAGAAAGTTTGGCTATTTTGAGTGCTATTTTTTTAGCAATCAAAAATTTATCACGCAAAGGCCCAGTATGTGACATTATCAAACTCATTAATAATTCATAATGTCATTAGCCAA